AAAGCAGGGCCACTGAGACAAAGCCAGACATTTATACAATCCAGCAATTTTGATTATGCAGTGCTGGGAAATAAAAACTGCCTACTTCTGGGTTGGGGGAGCTGGTAATTTACATTGACTGGTATTGTACACTGAATAGTTATGGGGTGCCATGGCTGCCAGTTCTGTTGTCTTTAAAACGACTGCTAATTCTAAACTGCAGTGATTCAAAACATTGTCCAAACTACATGTTCTGGAGATTATGAGTAATATTTTAACTTTGGCACACACTCATATTTTGGAACAATTCCAAGGACGCTGACTGTAAATGTATCAAGATCTGTAAATATAAAATATAAATCTTACCTGCGATTTGCCTGCCTGCGAAAAGGTTATTCATATGAAACGTTTTCCGTGGTTGTGGACCTTCGTTCCACATCGAATGCATCCTGCCCAACATCAGCGATTGCCCAGTTTGTGAAGCAACAACGTTGGCAAATGTTGAAGCTCTTGGAAGGTCTTCGAAAGACAGCAAATATTAACGCTGATTGCCCCGGTGACTTGCTTTGAAGAGGACGAACGCGACCAAGAAAGTGAGGCAGCCGATGACGATTGACGACGAACCAGAAGACGAACAGAACGAAACCCTCGTGAACAGTTTATTAGCAAAAATATTAAGCCCTTCGCGAAGGTCTGTCAGCTATTAACTGTGGTCAGACAATCGCCATTTCGCCAACCGGGTACTTTTAATGTACAGTAATGAGTCATGCGATGTTGTACCTGTCAGTCCTGGATCGTTGTGTCGCATTTCCGATGCGAAATGAGATCGATGAGATCAGATAGGTAATATTTAAAAACACGTCAGCTGTGGTGTAGGGAAAATAAGTTTAAACTGCCAAATCTACTAATTTTTTATGTGTGTGTAAAGATAGTGCAAGTGAGAGTCTGCTATTTTACGCGCGTCGAAACACTGTTATTCAAACATAAATATTTCGCGTTCTAGATCGAATTTAAAAAATCCCCCCGAGGAAATTAAAGAGGAAAGCATGCTTTATCAGAATTTGTCAGTTTTGGCGAAAAAAATTTAATATCGAATGTCACCGAGGGCGTAGAACAAGGTGTTATTTTCTCACTCCTTTTGTTTACATGTTTTGAATTTCAGGCATTCTGATTGGTCAAGAACGCAAAATGTAAACAAACGCGCTGATTGGCTAACATTATTTGCCCTTGTTCTCGAAAACAGTTCCAGCTGAACTGTCTAGAGGCTCTCTCTAACCTAAGTTTTATCTAGAGAAACAAGTGAATCTTTATACTACATAGGGCATGCTTGACTCTGTGCATGTGTTGTTCACCGAGTTGAGACCTTGTTGGACTGGTGAACAACTATTGGTATAGGGCACAATACCTAATGTACTCGAAGCTGGCTGAGAATACATGCAATAACTGTAGGTTGTTCTACAGGAACAGGCGGACTTCTATATAACAGGCGAACTCCCGTTCAGATCCGTCACTCTCTCCTCTGCAGAGGCTTTTAAAGAATATGAAATTCGAAGGAATTGAAATTGCGCTAGAAGGTATCTGGTATGAAGACAACCGCTGAGAATCGGTGCGCGGGCGAGGGGAAGGGAAGGAAAAAATAGCGGAAGCCTCTGCCCAATTTCTGTCGATATCTGTGCCAAATTGTCGATATCTGTAGCATCCGTATATTTTCTCAATTCTTTCTGTTTTAAATTTTATTTGATAATGTGAGGACATTTTGGATATCTGTTGGCCAACGTATATATTTTGGTATAATATTGTGTTTATGGGATGGCAGAATTGAATCAAAATAACCGGTCGAGTCAGGAGGGGGATGTCCTCAATTTGTCTACTGAGAATTGCGAAGTCGATGTATTAAACGTTTCGTTTCAAAACATATCGATAGATGATGGTAAGTTATTATTAATTTAATTTAGTTTTTGTATATTTGCAATAAATTAAATCTTATAAATGTAATCTTAAAGCCCTTATCAATGGACTATGTTGACCTTTGATAAATATTTATTATTTATATGCAGATATAAACAATCAGTCTATAATTATCACAAAAAAGCTATACTATACTATTATATTTCTGTTAGAATTGACTACAACCTGCATCATGCATATACAATATATATTTGTATTTATTTGAAGATAACAAATATAGTATTTTAAAGCTGAAAATGCATCAATTTCATCTCATGAAAACAATAATTTTATTTCTTGTGCAAATTCACAATATGCCCTCCCTTTGTTGCAGATACACCATTTATATCTGTAGATGCCGCAGAGTGTTTCGTCCCTTGCACATCTAGCACACCATTGAAAAGTAGGAAGCATCGTCTGAGTTTGAACCTGTCAGAGTTTGAACCTCCAAAGAAAAAGTCTAATCTTAGCAGTATTGGATGCAAAAAGAGGAGTGAGAATTTAAAGGATATTCTGAAAGTTAAATTTGTTGAAAGTCCTGGGAAAGTAGCAAGTCATGCTGATGTCCTGAATGTACTCGGAACAGATAACAAAAACCTTGCCAAGCCACCAAGTGAGTGAAACAAGTATTCAGTAGTGCAGTTAGTGATCGTCGAAAGGGTGTATATAGAAATATCCGTCGCTCCATTTCCTATGAAAGCAGCACTGATGGATCTTCATACGAAGTTGTAACAAATTCAGAAATATATGGTTTGCAACAACAAGTTATTTCACACAAAGAAAAAGCCAATGCTTTAATGGCTACTATAAAGTCGTTAGTTAATGATCCATATGTGAGCAGTCTCATTTCTTTATACAACAAAGAAATGGATTGTGTTTCAAAACTCTCGGACAACATTGATATTATGTATGAGAATGAATTGAAATATCTATTAGAACATGAGAAAGTGTTGGATCCTAGTGAAAAGAGTTGTCTGGTTGAAGAATTAAAAAAATGGAAACATTTGTTAACTTGGGTATCAGAAGTGGGGAGAATGTTGCTGAGGTACAACTGAATAGCATGGTATTTGAAAACCTCAAAGATCATGTTGAAATGGCCGGACTGCCCCATTCTGACTGGTATACTTCATGTACTTTTTCCCCTTACTGGAAAATCTGATAAGAAAGAAAAGGGAGCAGTACATGCACTTGCTCTTCTGGCGAGACTTAGAAATAAGCAATGCAGAAATGATATAACATTAATTTTTTCATTAATGCTTGTTTCATTTGGTGGTGGATGCAGAATGATTAAAATGCTCAACAAAATTGGCCTCACCCTTCATTGGGACACCCTGATGAACTTTCTTGACAAGCAATTAGAGAAAAAGATTTCCTATGTTAAATCTTTAACACCACAAGAGATCCCTTTGTTGCTTCTCATGGATAATATATTAAATATTTACCAAGGCAACAAACGACATCATCGGCTATTCAGCATCTATGGCCAGAACATGTGGAATTTCACTGTACGTGGTCTATTTATTCCTGACATATATGAAATTAAGCACCTGTTCTCATGCAAGGACACAGCAACGCAAAGTCAACATGATGTGAAAGAGTTCACGTTTGAAAACCTTGCCATCGAAAACAATTCAAAACATTTGAGAATATGGGAAAACCAAAAAGATCACTATTTGACTGAGCTTTTGAAAGATGGCCTGTCTTTAGAAACGAGCATTCCCTTTAAAGATATGTCAGAAAAAGATTGCAATAATTGTCTCAAGAATAAATTATATAAGATAACAGATGATTTAAAGTTTGAGTCTAATGCTAACTATATTGACCAATCACATTCTGGAATCATCTCCAAAACTGTAATTTTACCTCTTTCTCTTGAGAACAATAGCACTCTTGCTGGCACTGGTGTTATATTAGATCAGTTTGCAAAATAGTTTTCTATTCCTTCTGTCTCCAAGAATGAGATTCTTCCATTTGACAGCAATGCAAAAATATTTTGTTTGAAGAAAGCTAGAGAGCATGCTGAATTTAATATATTGATGAGTCATCACAAACAGCAAAATGAACTTTATAGCTCACAATTGTCAGATGTGGAAAAAAACTCTGAAGGGAAAGATGTTGATGAAGAATCAAGTGATATTAGTGAAGGCGATGATGATGATTCTGGAAATGAAGATGGTGAACAGACTGACAGGAATAGAGTCTCTGGACCAGAAACAACTGTGAATACTGTCCAAACATTGTTTCGAAAACAAGATCGTGTATTTAATAGCACATTTGATTCTTTAAAAAATAAGCTATGGAATGCCATTCAAACTACTACCCTTGAGCGATTTATTAAGGAGATATCAGAAACTGAACATCTAAGAACTATAAGGGATCATCTGGGACGATCATTATTGCATATGGCTGTTGAACAGCAAAATGTCAATCTTGTACATTGTCTTCTTCATGCAGGAGTTAATCCCAATTTAAAGGAAATGTGCGGTGTGACCCCATTGATCATTGCAGTTATAACCAAAAACAAGGAAATATGTAAGCTGTTAGTCAACAGTCAAGCTTCGGTACGTGGACCACTGTTTACTAACATTCCAAGTCCACTTGCGGTTGCAATGAAGATGGAACTGGAAGAGATATATGAACTTTTAGATCCAAGTTTGTCAGATCAAGAAGATGATGATATTGCTTCATATGATCCAGATTTCAAACGATCTGTGAATGTAACCAGAAGTCAGGGCAATGAAAAGAAAGAGAACTACAATAGAGGCTCTCCCGGATTTATAACTGGAGTTGTTGGAGATGTTGGAACGTGCAAGACAAATCGAGGAGTTATGTCTAGGTCGGATGCCTATGAATGGGTTGGTATTATACCTGGCGATTTGCACACTAAAGGTTATTTTGCAGAGGCATGTTTTAAAGAGCAAGGTCCAGGTGGCTTCCATTATCTTGTTGCAAAGGTATTGAAGCGACCAAAGCTAACAAAAGAAGCATTTAAGAAGACGAAGTTCTCCGAAGGAAACCTAGATAGGACAAGAGAGGCAGTTCGAGATGGAGCTAGGTCATATGATTTGGCAGCAGTGTGGGAGTTCAAAGATTCAGACCTGTTCCCTTCAGAAGTTGATAAACGGCAATGTTTTAGATCAACCGGTAGTCATGTAAAATTGTTTTTGGAACGTTTTAAAGCCTGGCTTCAATGCTCAAGATCTGCTAGCATTTCATTCCGGTACCAAAGTCAAATGTTCCTATTCTATGGCCCCTTGTTGGAGCTTTTTGATATTTCAACAAATCATTGCTGGGGAAGAGCGAGAGAAGCTAGCTATATTCTTCAGTTGCCAATTTATGCACAATTGAACTTTAGAAACTACTACTCTGAAAGTTTCATTCATGTTACCAACTTTCTTGGTAAATGGCCACTTGCATTCCGGAATTTGTTGTCAAACAATTGTTCAATCAACCTGTCTGGACGAAAGGGATGTGGGATTGAATTGGATGCATTTGTGGAAGCAGAGATAGTGCAACCACTCAAAGTCTACATGTCAGGTAGAAAATTATTTTATTTTGTGATACAAAACTGCCATAGAAAAGGGAGGAATATAAAATTAGATCACATTGTATGTAGTATTACTCACTTAACCCATTAGCTTGCGATATAGTGTCTTCTGTTAACCTCAATCATTGGTTTGGTATTGCAAATTAATGGGTTAAATTTGTTACTTTTCTAGAAAACATGGATGAGTAATCACGCTTTAGTACAAGCTCCTTCACAATTGAAAGATTTAAGTTGCCCCCATGCCTATATTTATTGTTATATATGTACCCTGTCAAGTCCTTATTCAGCTATTGAAGTGTTTCTAGATCATTCATAAACGTATACTTCTTTGTAGGCCACACATCAGTGAAGATGTGTGAAAGATTGATGGGATCGATTGATCTTCTTAAAGCCAGCAGAGGAGCATATATCTCCAAAGCTGGATTTGATGTGCATTCAACCGCCCGGCATTCGGTTGCAGATCCTTTTCATGACCAATTGAAGGGTGCCTGGTTCTGCTTGAAAAATGGCCTGTTGGATCCCAGTAAATCATCCGAGTCTCCCTGTTGTTATCCACTAGATGAGGGAGGAAAGCCCAGTGGTAAAGTTTCAAAATCCATGCTTGATGTTCAGGCGGTGTGCGACATGAAACCACGTGACGCAATCGAACGCAATAGACCAATCAGAGACTATCATTATTACGAAACATCATGGCGGTGATGAATTTTTAGGTTGTTGTTTAGTATTCAGAGTTTTGTGTGCCTTTCTCGTGTTAAATATACGGATTTTAAATAATTGCTGGATTTTTAGAAAAAGGATACATGGCTATGTATTCCTGAGAAGTTTTGTTGATCAGGTGGGTGTATTTGTATGTTTTTAATCGACTTATATGATAACATATCTCTTGTCGCGTCTGCGTGACGTAGTTTGAACGCGCTCATGAAATATTCATTTATGAGCAAACTAAAATATTATGTCGGGATTTATTTCTAGCAAACACTCAATTGCATAATGAATATTCGTCAGAAGTCGATCGACCCCAGTCGACCTCTTCTTGTTTAGCCGCTATACTAATTTGAAGCAAAGGAATTTTTCACTGTGTGTTATCAAATGTAGGTGACATGCTTTATTTTATTTTTACCGATTTTACAGCATGTATGATGCCTCCTAAGAGGCAGTACTCAAAATCAACAAGTTCCACACCGGAAAAACCACCCCAAAAGGTAAAAAGAGTTGTTGGAGGTCAGAAAGACGCCAAGTCAAGGAAAGTTTTGTTCTTAGAGCCATCTGCTCAAAATGAATCAGATGATGTGTCGGTGAGTATGTAGCCTGAAACAGCGAGTGTTTCAGGCTAGGTGAGTATGTGCATTGAAATATATTAGAAAATTAGATAATTTCAATCTGCAGTGAGTGCTCTCATTTTTTGTTTTTATATTCATAATGGTTTTTTATGTTCTTCAGACAAAGATGTCAAATAGATCGCCATGGTCAGAGTCAGAACTAGCTGCTATGGTCCAATATATTGCACCAGCGGCGGCGGAACAGATTTCATTCTGGGGGGGCTAAATTTTTTCGGCGACCTCCCCCTCAGTGTACCATTTTAGGGGTACAATATACAAAAAAAGGGACGAAAAAAAATTTTTCGGACTTATATCTAAAAAATTTTTCCGAAATAGACTTTTTTTAAACAAAATATTGCAAATTTGTCCCCTCATACCTAAATTTTCAAAAAATAACCTAAATTTTTCCGTAATTATCAAAATTTTTTCCAAAAATTCGAATTTTCTGGGGGGGGGGGGGCTAAGCCCCCCACTTTTACTTCTGGGGGGGCTTTAGCCCCCCTAGCCCCCCCTTGTATTGCACTATACCATGACATTCAGGCAGCAGAGTGGCCAACACATAAAAACGCAGTGTTCTGGGAGAGATGTGCTGAAGCTGTTGCAGAGACATCTGGGTTACCTAAAAGAGCTGGTAAATACGGTTTTACATATTTGTTTGAAGCTTATTATATGCTGCAAAAGTATATGTAAATGTTGAATAAATATCATTGACAGACTCACATACAATAGGGTGGTTGGAAGATGAGTTCTCTCCCTAATTTCAAAATGTGTATTAATGATAGCTGATTAATTAACTAAGTTTCTAAATTGCTGCAAAACATGGATGGATGATGGATCCAGCCAGATCTACGACATACTACAGTATTTCGTGAAACTGATTTAGTTATTTGCCATGTTGAATCATGAAGTCATCTTGTTGAAGAATGAAAGTAGTGATTATACACTGGTGACTGGTTAATTTGGATAACTTTAAGACTCCTTGGACTGCCATGCCCCGCAACTGCCACCTACGACTTTATCAACACAGCCACCTCCCTGTACCTAGAATAATTCTGAAGGCCCTGATCTAACAGGGAAAGTGCCCACCTATCCTTGGTCATGGGATGTTGACCATAAGTGTTTGCCATTGGTCAGTCTTGCTACCATCATGATTATGCCAAAAACTAAATTATAGCTATTAATTTTTATAGGAAATGCTTGTCGTCACAAAATATTTAATTTTTTCCGCAAGAATTTTACAACTGTGGATGAAGCTGAAAAACACTTCAATATAAAATATTTTGATGATGATTTTCCGTTGGTTGTGTGTAGTAAGTCAACGCCAAAATCAGGACAAGTCCAT